CTAAAATTGGACAAGAGGTCAAGTGTGGAAACTACTGTAGCTGGGCAAGAATGATCTCTGTGTGACTCAGATAATGTGTCACTTTGGGTCAGTCCTCAAAATCAGGGACTTTAAAGCTCCTTGAAAGTGAAAAGCACTCAAGAATGAAGATCAAGATTTGCTGTTAAGAAGTTAAGATGCTACAGGAGACTATAATTGCACATAATTATCACACAGAAGAAAAAACTTCATGAAAGCATTTAGACAGAGTAGCAAGACTTTAGAAGAATGACTGATGGCAGGTTTTACTAAAGAGCACTATGTGAAACACTGTTCCTAAACCTAGTAAGCTGCCTACATAGACACCTGCATGCCTTCATGTGTATCTCTCAAAACACAGTTTATTTAAAAAATATCTGTCAATTTATGTGTGTGATTATGTGACTGTGTCTAATCTCAATCTCTGTGTCTAATTGTCAACTGTTGAGGATTTAAAAAATGTCAGAATGCATTTATAATCAAAAATACCTTTAAAAAATTAGCAGCACGAGTGAATACTAAAATTAACAATAAATCATTCAAATAAAAAGAAATGATTCTGAATGTTGGAAAATGATGAGTGATGCTGTCAAAAAGATGCACATGAGAATAAAAAATATATATACTTCGCCAGAATTTTCTGTCTGTAAAATCATTTATAAAACACTAGAAGGGAGTACATAATAATGTACCCTGGATTAGTCTTTGGATCTGGATTGCGTCCTTCAAAGATTCCAAAGTAAAGGATAGAATTGGTTCCAGTCATGTCCAGCTGTGAGAGGAACAAAATGTTTTTAAATCATTAACACATCATGCAACTAAAAACAAACACAATTTTAAAGGTGCATCAACAAATTACATGCTTCTGGCTACACTCTTGAAAATAAAGCTTCCAAATGAGAGTTCAGAAGAACCATTTCCCCAAAGAACTTTTTTCCACTATATATATATATATAGAACCTTTTGTGCAATGGAAAGGTTCCATGGATGTTAATAATTTTTGATGGAATCATCAATGCCAATAAAGAACCTTTATTTTTAAGAGTGAATGTCAGAATAACTGCACAGGACATGCAGTATATGTAGTATGCAACATTGTTGTCACATGACCTCATCATGTTACTTGTTCCTGCATTCTGTTTTGTTGTACCTGGGAAGTGATGTCGGTCCTCCATGGATCCATCTGGAGCCTGTCACACCAGCCTCCTTTGTTTTTGTCATTTTTATTATTGTTTTAATTTGCATACACACACACACATATATTCAGTTAAACTAAATATATTTCAAGTTAAACTAAATAAAAATAAGAAACAGTGCATATGGCAACCAGCTGAAATTTTATTTTATTGCAGTTAATGTTTATTTTATGGATTTAGTTTTAGTTAACTATAATAACCGTGATTCTGATCTGCAGGTTTTAATCATGTTACTCTTGGTACCCTTCATGTAAAACTCCAGTTAATTCCTATTGAATGTCTTAGCAACAGTAACCAAGGGCGGAGCTAAGGGTTAAGTGTAAAATGACACACACACACATTTTTTTAATGGGAAACTGGCACTCACCTGTCTGGGTCTGTAGTAGCTGTAGCTCCAGACCTGTTTTCCATTCTCTGGGGCAATGAGGTGATTAAATGTTTCCCGTTGCTTTGGATCTCTTGAATCCCCAGCCTTCACTCCCATGGTCTCCATGCACCTGCCCAAGGCCATGTCCTCCACGGAGCTGAAATTCTCGCAGCGTCCTGTACTGAAGCCTTGCACAAATCTCCTGAGAGCCTCTGGGCTCAGAATGTATCCGGCTCCTCTGCTCATGTAACCCTGACGAACGAACAGCCGGAACCTGTGGCTGAAATAAACAGGCTTCTCTGTGTCCTGCATGCCGGTAAAGTAGGTGTCTCAGGTTTTCCACCACCACAAACGTGTCGTCGTCAGCTTTGAGGAACCAGTCGGCGTGCTGGAGGTGGTGGGCATGGATGTACTGAAAGGCCCGGATGGTCTTCCAATACAGCTGCGATCGGCCCTCGCTGACGTTGAGCCCCACGGTGGGGAAGTCGGAGCTCTGCGAGCTCATGTACAGAACCTGGTTACAGTGTTCAGCCCAGGTGGCACCAACATGCTGGAGCTTTTTCAAATGATTTTCAGGCCTTGTCATGATCCAACACAACACACGCACACGGGAAGACAGGGACTGTGCCAGCTCATCTAGGAAATTAAAGCAAAAGTTTAAGCTTTCACTTTACTGAATATACACTACCATTCAAAAAGTTTGAGATCAGTGAGATTTTTCTTTTCTTTTCTTTTTTTAAGAAATGAATACATTTATTCAGCAAAAATGCATTACATTGATCAAAAGTGTCAGGAAAGTCTTGTTACACAAGATTTCTATTTTAAAATAAATTGTTTTAAATTGTTTTTCAAAGAATCCTGAAAAAAAATATTTCATTCCACAAAAATACTAAGCAGCACAACTGTTTTCAGCATGGATAATTATGAAATATATATATATATATATATATATATATTTATTTTTTATTTTTTTTTGGAGCAGCAAATCAGCATATTAGAATGATTTCTGAAGGATCATGTGACACTGAAGACTGGAGTAATGATGCTGAAAATTCAGCTTTGCATCACAGGAATAAATTATAGAAAACAGTTTTTTAAAATTGTAATAATTTCACTGTATTTCTGACCGAATAAACACAGCCTTGGTGAGCATAAGAGACTTCTTTCAAAAAATTTTAAATATTTTACTGACCCCAAACTTTTGAACAGTACTGTATGTTTTATTATTATTATTATATTACAAATTTGAACCATGCATACAAATGAATTTCTTTACAAAATGAAAAACTGAATTACATGTTTTTCTATTTTAATTTTTAAATCTATCAGCACATAGGAAAAATAATTGTAATAATAAAAATTGAGATTGGTTGTCCAAACTTTTGACTGATATTGTAAATACTATGCAAAAAAGATGCAAAATATGATAATTAAAAGATATAAGTGATAAAGAACATACCATTATTTTTTCCATGCCTGACTCTTGGCTCGAGTGGAAAGGTAATGTGGATATGCAAGTGCTCTGGCTAGGTCAAATCTAACACTCATGAGTTGCTGAACAAAGACAAAACCAAGGAATATCCCACAAACTAGAAATATGTGCTGAGACACCTGAAAAAAAAAAGAAGAAATTATTTGAAAACAAGCAATATAAAAAATATATTTTGCTGTTAAAGAAAAATATGACTTACCACATTGGGGCAGTTTAGGTCACATTTTAGTTGTTTTTCAGCTAATTAAAATGATGTCTTAAATTGTGAATCAAAGAAAGCGACTGCTCTCTGTTGAGGTTCAGGAGTTTGTCTCAAGACATTGTGATTAGCATCAGCCACACCTTTTTTGTTGTAACTCGCCACATAAAACTTTTATTTACTATAACTGACATCACAAACCTCACTGTCTTGATAACAGTTCCATAAACCTTAACCTTCATGCATGAGTTATTAAATTAAAAAAGCTCAATTTTCTTCAAAACAAGAATATAATCATTCCCAATATTTTCGTTTCTCCAAATGATGTAGTGAATTTTACCAATTTTGCAAGACACATGACAAAAACATGAATTTTCTGTTCTATTATAATAGGACCATCATAGGAAGTACTTTTTAATTACAGAACACGGTACCTGTTACGGTACCTTTGCTTTATAGAAGATCACCTAAAATTGGACAAGAGGTCAAGTGTGGAAACTACTGTAGCTGGGCAAGAATGATCTCTGTGTGACTCAGATAATGTGTCACTTTGGGTCAGTCCTCAAAATCAGGGACTTTAAAGCTCCTTGAAAGTGAAAAGCACTCAAGAATGAAGATCAAGATTTGCTGTTAAGAAGTTAAGATGCTACAGGAGACTATAATTGCACATAATTATCACACAGAAGAAAAAACTTCATGAAAGCATTTAGACAGAGTAGCAAGACTTTAGAAGAATGACTGATGGCAGGTTTTACTAAAGAGCACTATGTGAAACACTGTTCCTAAACCTAGTAAGCTGCCTACATAGACACCTGCATGCCTTCATGTGTATCTCTCAAAACACAGTTTATTTAAAAAATATCTGTCAATTTATGTGTGTGATTATGTGACTGTGTCTAATCTCAATCTCTGTGTCTAATTGTCAACTGTTGAGGATTTAAAAAATGTCAGAATGCATTTATAATCAAAAATACCTTTAAAAAATTAGCAGCACGAGTGAATACTAAAATTAACAATAAATCATTCAAATAAAAAGAAATGATTCTGAATGTTGGAAAATGATGAGTGATGCTGTCAAAAAGATGCACATGAGAATAAAAAATATATATACTTCGCCAGAATTTTCTGTCTGTAAAATCATTTATAAAACACTAGAAGGGAGTACATAATAATGTACCCTGGATTAGTCTTTGGATCTGGATTGCGTCCTTCAAAGATTCCAAAGTAAAGGATAGAATTGGTTCCAGTCATGTCCAGCTGTGAGAGGAACAAAATGTTTTTAAATCATTAACACATCATGCAACTAAAAACAAACACAATTTTAAAGGTGCATCAACAAATTACATGCTTCTGGCTACACTCTTGAAAATAAAGCTTCCAAATGAGAGTTCAGAAGAACCATTTCCCCAAAGAACTTTTTTCCACTATATATATATATATAGAACCTTTTGTGCAATGGAAAGGTTCCATGGATGTTAATAATTTTTGATGGAATCATCAATGCCAATAAAGAACCTTTATTTTTAAGAGTGAATGTCAGAATAACTGCACAGGACATGCAGTATATGTAGTATGCAACATTGTTGTCACATGACCTCATCATGTTACTTGTTCCTGCATTCTGTTTTGTTGTACCTGGGAAGTGATGTCGGTCCTCCATGGATCCATCTGGAGCCTGTCACACCAGCCTCCACGGCCGTACAACCAGGTCCCGTGTTCATTGGGCACTGCTGCTTCAGGTACCCGCATGGCACAGCCCAGAGGTGATCCTACATGGCCATGCACACCTGTTTTACTCTTTGGCACAGTGTGAACACATTTATTTGTTTAATGTCATAAAATGTTATTTAGTGCACCCATCACCCTCGTCCTACTAACCAGCTGACTCAAATATGAGGCTGGTAATTAATGTCATAAAATGTTATTAAGTCCACAAATTCTGTCACCCCAGTCCTACTAACCAGCTGACTCAAACACAAGGGTGTTATTGATGGCTCTGTTGAGCAGGAAATGATGTGATGTCACACAGAATTCACCGCAGAAGTTCTCGTCAGACCCGTGAGCCGTGATAATGGCATATAACTCCACCTGCCACACACACACACAAAAAACACACATTCAACTCATGGAAAGTTTTTATTTATGCAGAAATGTTATATGCAAAAAAAATACAAAAATAAAAGAATAATAATAATAAGTGAAGTGAAATGTGGCCAAGTATGGTTACCCATACTAGGAAATAGTGCTCTGCATTTAACCCATCCTAAGTGCACACACACAGCAGTGAACACACACACACCGTGAACACACACCTGGAGCAGTGGTTTTTCTATTCCAGCAACAACATAAAAATACAGATGTAATTCTTGGAAAGTTTTCACTTGCACATAAATTTTACATATGCATATAATATACATATAATATAAATATTATTTTTAAAATGAGATTTAATTAAAAATGTAATTATGAATGTAAAAAAAAAATACAAATTTTAAAGTATAACAAATTTTACTTAAATAATATATGTTTTTTCTGTTTGGACGATGTGTTGGAAGCAGGACTAACTCTTATTAATAATAGTTTTGGATGTATCTCACCTTCTTTGTTGAAGCTGGAAGACTGAACTTGATCTTCTGGTATCTGCTGTTATAGTCCTTGTCAAACGTCCCCCCAGAGAAGAGTGATTTTACCTTGAAAGGGTACAATCTGCGAAAACATTGTCAGATGATGTCAACATCCATAACAGATGTCATCATCCCACTTGGTGTATTACTACAGTAACTGGAGTTGCATTGAGGCATTTTGGGAAACAGCCAAGCCCTTAAATCCAGTTCCAAGAATAGTGCATTTATGGTGTTCTGCAAGTGCACTAAAATAGAGCTAGTGATTATATATTTATGATACTTGGACACATAATCAATGCCTAAAATGCATGCAATGGTATATGCGCACTCTCCCGAATCGATGTATCTCTACATTGTTTCACTTTCAAGTTCTTCCTCATTTGGATGAACGCGGGGGCGTGGCCTAAGGAGGCCTGTCAGGTTTGAGTGACACATTCAAATGGCCAATAAGAGAGGAGAAGCAGCATATCACCATGCAAAATACTAAATAAAATCATACAAAGTAAATATTCAAAATGAATTAGAAAGAACGAAGAACAGCAACGCCTTCAAAATCTATTTAGTTTTATTTAATATGCGATCCATTTCAAAGACTTTTATTTTATGTCCTTTTTGGGGCCTTCTTTAATATTTTATTTCCTCAAATTAATTATGCTTCAGGTCAGTGTTATTTTAGAGTTATTTATATACGATCATAGTACTTTTTAATATTTTGATATTAGCTTTTATTTTGATCTTTTTATTTTGAATTTTCAGTAATTTTGTTTGGTGCTTTTGTCATTTATTATGTTTTTTTTTTAAACATATATTTCTATTTAGCCTTGATTTATTTTTGTCAGTTTAAAGTTTTTAGCAGTTTCAGTACTTCAACTTATACTTATTCCAGTATTATTATTATAATATAATATATATACACAGTGGAGATCAAAATTAGATTTATAGATTATGTTATAGTATTTATAGATTGTGCTGTAATTTTGACATCTATATATATATATATATATATATACTGTATATATATATATATATACACACATTTACAAAGTAAATATTCAAAATGAATTAGAAAGAACGAAGAACAGCAACGCCTTCAAAATCTATTTAGTTTTATTTAATATGCGATCCATTTCAAAGACTTTTATTTTATGTCCTTTTTGGGGCCTTCTTTAATATTTTATTTCCTCAAATTAATTATGCTTCAGGTCAGTGTTATTTTAGAGTTATTTATATACGATCATAGTACTTTTTAATATTTTGATATTAGCTTTTATTTTGATCTTTTTATTTTGAATTTTCAGTAATTTTGTTTGGTGCTTTTGTCATTTATTATGTTTTTTTTTAAACATATATTTCTATTTAGCCTTGATTTATTTTTGTCAGTTTAAAGTTTTTAGCAGTTTCAGTACTTCAACTTATACTTATTCCAGTATACTTTTTTTTTTCATCTATTTTGTTTTATTACAGCTTTATTTCAATTAACACAAATATTTTAATAGTTTTAATTTTAACAATAACACCAGTTTCACGTCATCACAAAGTTTTAAAAAATATATATTTCATCATATCAGCATCTTATTTTTCCTTTTTCTTGCTTCCTCTGCAGCATGCACTTTCAAATTTATTATTAATAATTAATTTATTCATAATTAATTTAATTACACAAATATTGAATAATCATATCTAATTAAGTATGTTAATTACATTAAAATAAATTAAATATTGATCATTAATGTTAGTAAATAGTATTTTAAAATGATATCAAATCATCAAATGAAAAAATAAAATAAACGGTGATTAATAAATAGAGCCACTAAAGAATCCTTTAAAACTATCAGCCAGCACAAAACATACCAAATTAAAATATTTGTTCAGGAATAGAATAGAATAGAATAGAAGCTACAAACACACGCAGTCAAGCATCATATGGACAACAGTGATTTACAGCAATCAAAACAGCATCAGTCAAATTAATATGAGTGAAGCAAATCATGAAGTGGTGAGAAGTAAAGTTACGGTCTAATTCTGAGGCTCCTTCTAATTTATCAAGCATCTTGAACGATGTGAACCAGGAGTGGATCAGAGGTCAAATGCAGAACGGATAATAATAGCTGAAATCGACATGGATGAATCTCACACGGATAATCCAGTGAAGCAGCAATTTTCTTTTAATAATTCATAATCACCACCTGATTCATCATCTGCTCATTTCACCAGCACTATTTAAACAGAGCTGCTGTTTGCACCATATCTGAGTACAGATAGAGCCAGTGTGAATTCCCTGAATTTCTGAGAGTTTGGTTTGAGACTCATGAACTCCACCAACCTCACAGCATCATGAAGATCTTCCTGCTGATTCTCCTGCTGCTGTCTGCTCTGTCAGATATTTTGTGCCAGAACTTCAGTCCTGATGAGGATAACTGGATGAGTGACAGGTATCCAGACAAGGTTAGTGATTTCAGTCTTACAGTGTTGCTCTTTTATGCCCTTAACTTTAGTTATGGACTATAGAAGTGATATCATTTGCAGTTTAATATACAAAATGAATAAGATTATTTAACAACAATATCTAATGAAAGTTTCTCATTTGGTTGCATTGCTTAATTATTTATATCATCTGAAGGTAAATTTGCTAGAATCTGACCTAAAGACGATGTTGGAAAGGGTCAGCCGAGCCCCTGGTCTACAACAGATTTTTGGTCTAATGAGGAAAAGATCATCTGGTAAAAATGTTAAAAAATTCATTGTGTTGATGAATTATTTTTATTCTCAATTCTGCATTATCAATTGATATATATGGTATAAATACACTGCATATATATAAATAAAATAACAAATATAAATGTTGCTTTCACTTCACAGCAAAATCACAGATAACACGAAGACGTAAGTATTTTGGGGAGTTTTTCTAATCAAGTGTACACTACTTTATAACGTGTTGTATTCAAATGTGCTTTAAAGTCCTGCATAGTTACTTTTTTTTTTTGCACTTATGACTGAAGGGTGTCCTATAATCTGTGCATTTACATTAATGCGATTATTAAACTTCATTCAAAAGACAAAGTGGCTGCTCATGCTGAATCGTGTGTGAATCAAATCTGATAATGTGGTTTATCTCACAAATGACTTCCAGGGCAGAAATTTCAGACTTTTGTGGGTCTAATGGGAAAACGTAATGTGGTCGAACCAGGTTAGTCAGTTCTTTCTTTCCTTTTGCATGCATACATACAACATATTCTGTCACAACGTTTTTATTATAAATTCTGACCTTTATTTTCTTTTAGGATCCTTCTAAGAAAAAGGCAAACGATGTTGATGATGCATCAGGCTTAAACTGATAATGATTATTTCAGAACCAAGTTAAAAATGTTTATCAGCTGATCAATATTATTAAAAATGTAATTTATTTATAATTATAATACTGGTGCCACTTTTCATTTCTACACTTTAAACGTGAATTATTCTTGACAGTTCAATGTGCAGCATACTTGCTATATAACTCTAAAACCTATTTGGAAATATTAATTAAAATGATTTTATGTTTGTATTAATTTATAATCAGTAAATACTGAATACCACTATTTTGAGGTGTGTTTTAATGCAATCGGGGGATATGAAGCGATGAACGTGTGACAACTGCCCCATAACAAGATCATTTCAATATTACGATCAGTGTTTCTTGTACAAAAATGTTGTTGTAGGTATATTTTTAGTAGATTTGGATGTTTATTTAAAAAACGTATGACGGTTCCCAGTATTGCAACACTATTTCAGCAATCTAAATGATCAACCTGTATCATCACAAGTTTATTAAGAGACTGTACAATACAAATGAAAAAATAAAATTAAAAATACAGAAACAAGAGAACATAACATAAGAAACAAAACAAAAAAATGCTTTGGACTCGTGTCCTAACAGCTGAAATACTGTACAGCAGAGGTGAGCTTACAGACAAACATGTTGAAACCACTCTATCATGAGCACGATGCTGTCCATGAATTAAGACACCCGTCTGCTGAGTATTCTAAGAAACATACAAAAAATATTACGTTAGCTGTCTTGGTGTACGTATACGTATTTATATATATATATATATATAAAAATAACTGAAATAACATTAATGAAGTTATAGGAGGTGGTCAAAGGATATTGACTAGACAGACATTATACTTTGGAAACACTTCTGCATTTAAGAGAAAAACTAAATTATAAGCCAAAAGAGCAAATAATGCGTTTGCCCATCCCCGGATGTCATTCGTGCATTTACAGTTGTAGAATTTGGCCTGTTGCATGGGATTCTTTGGTTTACCGAGGGAAAATAGAGCACAGTCACATTTGTTCTTTTTCAAAAAACACACTTCTGTTATGGAGGTTCATGTTTTTTAGTTTTTCCATTTTGTTTGGAGTATGACTGTAGACATCAGCTGGTAAGTGAATTCAGTATATATTTCGTTTAGATCAGTATGGGTTTGGCTTGCCTAAGACTGAGTTTCACAAAGGTAAACGCTTTAGCGGAAGTCCATGAACAGCTTGAACGCCACCGTCAGACTGCGAGGACAGCTCGGAGTCTGAAGGCTACACAGATATCAGGTCGGGGGGGATTGGCGAATGAGAACAACCTGCTCATCGTTAATGATTTTAAAAGATCTTCCCTTTCTTCTTATTCTTTTCCAAAGTCCTGTAGAGGAAAAAAAAACAATAATAACTTTAAAAAACTGCTCTGAGGAGGGATGCATTATAGAAATTCAGAGGGGTCTGTTTACAAAAATTGTGTTATATATTAAAAAAAGTTGTGTGAAATGTATATATATATATATATATATATATATATATATATATCTCACACAACTTTTTTTTATATATAACACACTTTTTGTATA